GGTAAGAGTACCTTAGAAAATGATGATGCTGATGATAATAATAATCATTTCTTTAGGAATTAAGTTTCATGTGAAGAATATAACTGGAAGGTTTTTTTTTAGGCTGCAACTTCCTTTTTTCTTAAAACGTATTCTAATCACAAACTTTTTCCACTTCTGGGTTACCAGTACAAAGATCAAACAAACAGTAAAATAAATTCCAGACTTTTCATAAATAATATTGATGGTAGAGTTTTTTTTTTATGTGTTTGTTTGTTTGTTAAAAAAAATCCAATCCACACTCATTTGATCTAGGAAAAAAATGTGAGGGGGGGGGAAAAATATTCCCTATTTGTAAAATATATTAACTCAAAAAAAAAAAAAAATCCTTATAAAAATCTAATAAAATAGTGGACCAGTATAGCAAAAGCCGTAATGGTCCACTTGGGGAAATAAATTTGTTTGGCCTTCAGACAACAATTCTGATCACTACACTGCTGGACAGCACAGGCAAAAACAAAAAAAACCCCAACAAGTCACTCTCAAAAGTGTGTCACTTTTAATTACACACCTATGATTATAAGCTACTCAAGGGAAATGTCAGCTTGTGAATTTAGACATTTTGCTACCACCCAACATGGATCTTTCACTGTTGTCCTCTTTCAAACCAGTTCATTGAGCAATAAAAAGGCTTTATGAGCCACCAGGGAAAGTTCGCTGGAGTTCGATGACATTTGCTGGGAAAATGATTGCTAAAGCCCCAATCACACAGGCCTACTGACTGGTCAGTGACCCCCAGGCAACCACCTGTCACTAGGGGGGAAAAAAGCATGGATGGACCAGAGTACGACACAAAATCTCCAGTTTCTCAAGTTGTTTTAGTGAATGTTTGCAGACAAACGTGATCTTTTGAGTTTTTATGAATGTTGCACAGACAACCTTATAATCAATCAACTGTCTCTGTTTGGTTTTTTTTCCCGCTAAGACTGAGCATTCCAAACATGGAGGATCTGAAGAGAAAGCTACTGAAAATAGTTTCAAACTGCAATAAACCCAAAGTAAGAACCCTTCATATAGCCCTACGCCTCTAGACTATCTGGAAATGAAGTTGCACTTGTGAATTTTGGACCCTTTTTCATGTTTGCATTGCAGTACCGCATCCTGCTGCAGGGATGTTGGTATGAGTTGTTTGGCGGAGACCCGGATGACTGCCCCACTGAGATGGATAACAGGAGGGAGCAAGAGCTTAGCCAGCCCCTCCTGGGAGAGGAGTCTCTAATCGTTCGCCACTCATCCTCCTATCAGAGCCTGGGATCAGATGAATCACCCGCCCACACACCTGCACACTTGCCTCTCTTCCTGCCGGGACGCATTCTGCATATCACAGAAGATGGGCCGACACGGAGGTGGGTCTGCAAATGTTTCATGTTCCCAATGAGCAGATTCACAGCAGACTTTCCAAGTGTTGATGACTTTGTGTATCTTGTAATTCTTTTTCAAGAAAGGCAAAAGTTCTTGACACATTCTTGGTTGATCACTGACTGGTTTGCGGTTCAAAAGTACTTCATATCCCCTTCAACAGTAAAGCAATTAGGGAACCCAATGGCAATTTTGCTAGCTTAGCATATGAGGACCAGTTGTGTATTTTTGATCACTATGCTAGTGTTTCAAACTAGATGTGTGGGGGAAGGACCAAGGGGTACTGCATACTGATAGAGTACGACTGCATAGACAATTTGAATTCTTTGAGAGAATTCAAATTGAGAGAAGTTATGTCCAAAGTCAACATCGTGTTGCATTTAGTAAGACTTGAAACTGGAAACTGAAGACATAAACTCATCAGAAAAATATTTACTGATGGCATGGATCAAACAGCTGAGAGCAGTTTTCCTATGCAGTTCATTTTACAACCAGAGGAGTCGCCCCCTGCTGGACGTTAGAAAAAATACCCCCATTCTTTTAAAGCAAGCTACTTCCATTATGTATCTATAGTCTGTAAACTGTGTTTAGGCTGTCATGTGTTCATGTTCATTATAACCCCTAAGCCTAACTAATAATTTTAGATGCGTATAGTGTTATGAGAGATAAGCACATAAATTATTTGGTCACTCTGTCCTCTACTTTCCTTAGATCCTGCTTTTCCCAGGTCCGGTACCGTGCAGACTGGTCAAATGAAATGGCATTCCGGAGTATTTTGATCAGCCCCAGGATGCTTACGGATCACATGCCCGACATTGTGCTCCGAGCACTCGGCACTCTGACCAAGGACAAGCCCTTTTCCCTGTGCCCTTCATCTTTAAGCGACAGCCAGCACAACGCTATCTGAAATGTACCATAGAGACTGTTTCCTTGTGTCTTCACTCCCAGCCTCCGCAATGTTTAAACCACCTGCCGATCATTTGTTTTCTGTGTGTCGATGCCTGATAAAGGACTGCTTCAGGTAGTTCGCGTGGCCTGTAATCACAACATTTCCTCATATTTTGGCTCCAAGCCTTATGAAATTTCAAAGATTTCAAATATACAAGTATTTGATCAGAGAATACGTGAAAGCGTAGCCTGTTATGATCGCCATGGAGGGAACCTTATTTGTAAAGAAAAACTCTGGAGCACAAGTTTCATTTGTTTAATTGCAGTTTTAATGATTTATATCAAATAATTGTATGTATTTTGACTTTGAGTTACTCCTTGAGCATCTGAATGCCATGATCTTTGAATGTGCGTTGTGTACAATATTTGACAGTGCTGCAGTTTTTACCGTGATGCCGGTGTTGTTGATTTTTATGTCTGTGTGAGCGGTGTGTGGTTGGAAGAGGCTGCCCCCTCCTTTCTTATCTTCTTTCTCTTCAGAGAGTGAGAGCAGACTGAGTCAGAGTGATAAAGGGGTAGCTTTCGCCACAGAAACCTGTACCGGATTCACACCTTCATTGTGTAGTAGCTGTGGTTAGCTTGTCCTGTGTTTAATGTCTTGAGACATCAGGGTGAACAGTGCCTATGCATTACAGAAACCAAGCTGAGAGACACGGTGATGAGCACAGCTTGTTTACAGTGAGATTTTTTTTTCTTCAGTGCAGTTTGAATAGTGCATGGTGTTTGACATAAATGTGTTGGTGTAAGAAGTAGAAAGATTGTACTTACACAAAAGGTGGGAACCTGTTTACTTGCCATGGATATTGCTCATTTCAGGTGATATATATATATATTATATTATAATATGCCTGCATAACAATCTCAAATCCTCAATAGAAAGCATTGGACTCCTGGATGCAATTAAACTCTTTTGTGAAGCACACCTTTTTTATTCTTTCATTTTTCCCCTCTTCTGAATAAACAATGGGTTTCTCAGTGAGAGGAGCCTGTTGATCTTAGAGCCAGCAAGTTTTATAAAGCTTAACAATGGGATTAATCCATGGACTGAAGCCACAGGAGTCAGTTGGGGGGATGTAATTATGAACAGGCCAGGAGGCATTAGTTCTTACCCTATTTTTAACTTTAAACACAAATTCAAGAAAAAGAAAAAAAAAAGTATGACTATTGTTATGTAATGTAGACAGCTCATTTGAAAGAGGCAGCGAGATCAATGTAAGCAATAATGAGTTTTAATAAATATATTTATATATATATATATATATATATATATATATATATATATATAAAATAATAAATAAAATTAGTGCAGAGATTCTTTTTAGAACCTCTGCATTAATGCTATACTTGAGGCTATATATTACATGAAGACTGAAAGATACATAAAATGTGTTAAACTTTGATGTTTGGTATAAAAGGTTGCTTTCATGGAAGTGTTTACCATAAATAAAAAAGAAATTAACAACATATTATCCCTAAAAACACTTTTTTCTGTTCCAAATTGGATAAATTTGTCCTGTAAACACATTCAGTTCAGTTGATTTTTGCTTAACCTGTGCCATATAGCAACAACAGTCGCCTCATGGTGCTTTATAATGTGAAGCAAAGAACCCACAGGAATACAGAGGAAACGACAAAGATCAGAAGACCCCCTATAAGTAAGCACTCGGTGACAGTGGGAGGAAAAAAAACTCCCTTTTAACAGGAAGAAACCTCCGGCAGAAACCTCATCTACCTTGACCGTTTGGGGAACAGACCCAACGTCAGATTAAAGAACATCTTCACAGGTAGAAACAGCTGTAAATAATCTTAAACCCCACCTCTAGGTAAAAGCATGACCAAATCCACTTAATAATTTAACAAGTATTACATCAAAAGGAGATCACAGTATGGAGAGCTGATAGAATGAGGGTGAAGTTTCTGCTCATTTTGTTGGATGCTTTGTTATTGTGAAAACTGCAGCAATGGTCACTATATGTGCTTGGATGAAAAGATGATGTGATGCAGTGGCAGGAGAGGCTGAAACGCTGACTGCACAACTGACCGCATTAGAAACAACTGCAAATTCTCTTGATAGTACTTGAAATCTAAAGGGATGTAAATTTTGAACATGAAAGTAAAATACCGTGTGGATGAAGGAGTTGGTGAGACAGGCACATTCTTTTATCGAACCATCTTTTCATTTTTTTAAAAAGTGTCTTACTTTCAGTTTTTCACACTCTGTCCCCCGCAGAGATGTGACGTCAGCGTCACCAACATGACATCTTCAAGTGATCCCTGTGAGCTCATATTTCCAAACTGACTCGGGAAATGACAGAGCGGTTATTCAATGCGTTACTAACGCTGCCCAAACGACATCATCCCAGGTTTGACTTATGAAGGGAATCAAATGGTACGCCTACATAACTGCTTTGTTTGTGCTGCAGTGCTAGAATTAGAAGTTGGAAGCGTGTACTAACTCGGTCAATTAAATAATTTAAATAATTATCGATATCCTTTAACGGGAAAATTACGGGTAAATTCTGTATTTTATGCATATGCAAGAAGGCGAAGCTACAAGTGTTTTTCTTTAAACCAGTTTTTGATACGATTTTTTCTCCGCCCCTCAAACGTCACTTAAAAGTAACTATATATGAGCAATAGTTAAAATCCCATTATTATTATTTTTTAGCTCTGTAAGCACAAGCTATATTTGCTAGCATGGGCTATTGGGCTATACTGTCACCTTTTAGTGTTTTGTTTTTCCATAACTGCTAAATAATTTGTTCTGTTATGTTGCGCTTACTACTTTTTTGATTCGTTGAACTTCGCTTGTTCCCATCTTTCCAACAGCGCGTGAACGCAGCAGCAGAAGCCCATCTGTTGGATAGGGAAACTAATCAGGAGCCAAGTAAAGACTTTTCAGTACTGCTAGCTTCTAGGCTAGCAAGGTTTTAAAGTCTGCCGTCCACACGACTAAGGGATAGGACTTTGTTAATGAAGTACAGCGCCTTCGCTGCATGAGAAACAACATTCGAGCGATGTTTTAGGAGCACAGTTTTGTTGTTGCCGCGAAAGTAGAAGGTGGGTAGCCTCTGGTCAGCCGAAGCTTGCGGCTAGCTCATTAACGTTAGCTGGGAAAGAAGTGCAAGTGGAATCGGGAAAATGGAGCTGGACGACGTAGTCCTGTATCAGGACGACTCGGGCAACTCGACCATGATGTCTGAGCGGGTCTCAGGTCTGGCCAGTTCAATATACAGGGAGTTTGAACGGCTCATAGAAAAATACGACGAGGATGTGGTAAAGGAGCTGATGCCGCTGGTCGTCGCAGTGCTGGAGAACTTGGACTCGGTGTTCGCTGTCAACCAGGAGCACGAAGTGGAGCTGGAGCTGCTGAAGGAGGACAACGAGCAGCTCGTTACCCAGTATGAGCGAGAGAAGGCACTGAGAAAACACACAGAAGAGGTGGGTCTGATTAAAAAAACAAGCAGCAACAGCGCCAAACTAATTTACAAGCGGGATTAAAGATTAAAGGCGTGTATTATGCGCTCGATGAAAGGATTTGAGCCAAAGTCAGTTGGAAAATCTGGCCACTTTACTGTTGCAATGCTTTTCAAGTACACATAAGCGCATTACTTATCCTTTTGTACTTTTTATAAAGTATATAATTATTCGGTACACTTGCATTTCATTTTCTTATAAAGATCGTCCTGTACCCAAGCCATCCCTTATGGTCAACTCTGAGACACTACACTGCTCAAGTTTTGTTGCAACATTAGGGTCTCCTTGGACCAGTAGTTGCATTATATGATGGGTTTATGCACCACCGTGTAGTTTGTTGTACTTCGCATAACCTGGTAGTGTCAGATATATGCAAACCAGTCAGTGATCTATTTGCCAGCCGGCTGCTCTTGCCTCAACCAAAAACAAGTTTGAATCTCAGTGATCAGATTCAGCTTCATGACTCATGGCTGTCTCACTGACCCTGCATTTGATTCCGCCCAAATGACACCCCCGTTGCCATGCTCTTCATGACTACAGGGCGGTTTGTGTTGGAAACACTTGTTTAGGTGCCACAGTCTTGCACACTGGGTCTGAAACCCAGGCTTATGCAGATTTGTACTTATACATTTTTCTCGCATTTGACTGCTAGAGTAGCTTTGCATGAGTTTCACACAATTTGGTTTTTAAGTAATTCATAGTTAGCTTTGCTGCAGCCCTTCAGTTCAACCACTCTTTGAGGTCTGCCCTGCCTTAAAGAGTTATGATTGGCTGCTCTTCAGAAACACAAAGTTTCAACAACAGGTGGACTGTGGACCAGTGCTGCATCCCTGAGATGGCCTTTTAAAGATGGCTCCTCTCTGATATTGTAAAGATCCAATAGTAGAAAAACTGTCTGACACATAGGATTTAAACTGTCTGAGGATTGAGCTTTTAGTTCACATGATAACCTGACCTCATTATTTGAAACTCTGGCTAGATTTGTTACAAGCATCACCACTGTGAAGCACTTAGTGTTAGTGGTTGCTTTTCTTATTTATTGCTGGGAACTTTGGGGCATGTTGCATGGGCGTGTACCTGAACGTCTACAATTACCTCAGATTGAAGTTTGGAGTAAAACTGAAGCAAGTGAAAAGATGATCAGTGTTGTATTGTCGTTTACTCAGTTTCCTCATCACGTGGTCTTATTTAAGAGAGTTGGTGTAAAACCTGCAGCTATGTAGTATGCTGTAACCGCTTCAGTGTGGCCCTGGTGCATTGTGGCTTGCACTCCTTATTCTTGCTTTTGTGAGCTGGGTAAATTTGGGGCTGTTTCTTAGCAGCTGCAGGCATGCTCATGAGTTTGATTGGCTGTCTACAGGCACTCTTATCTGTGCTTCTGTGTACATGTGTGCTCCCCTTTGTCTTTCGCTTTCAGTGTCTATTGTTAGCCATAAGTACACATTCTAAAAGTTCACTTTCCTTCAAAGAGCTGAATCAGGACTGTTAAAGTTGTTTTTAGTTTGTGGGCCATATACAATCCAATGTAATCTTAAGTTCAATTCAAATTTATTTATATAGCGCCAAATCACAACAAAAGTCGCCTCAAGGCGCTTTATATTGTACAGTAGATCGCACAATAATAGATACAGAGAAAAACCCAACAATCATATGAGCAAGCACTTTGTCGACAGTGGGAAGGAAAAACTCCCTTTTAACAGGAAGAAACCTCCGGAAGAACCAGGCTCAGGGAGGGGCGGCCATCTGCTGCGACCGGTTGGGGTGAGAGAAGGAAAACAGGATAAAGACATGCTGTGGAAGAGAGACAGAGACTAATAACAGATATGATTCGATGCAGAGAGGTCTATTAACACATAGTGAGTGAGTAAAGGTGACTGGAAAGGAAAAACTCAATGCATCATGTGAATCCCTGGCAGCCTACGTCTATTGCAGCATAACTAAGTGAGGATTCAGGGTCACCTGGTCCAGCCCTAACTATGTGCTTTAGCAAAAAGGAAAGTTTTAAGCCTAATCTTGAAAGTAGAGATAGTGTCTGTCTCCCGAATCCAAACTGGAAGCTGGTTCCACAGAAGAGGGGCCTGAAAACTGAAGGCTCTCCCTCCCATTCTACGTTTAAATACTCTAGGAACAACAAGTAGGCCTGCAGAGCGAGAGCGAAGTGCTCTAACAGGGTGATCTGGTACTACAAGGTCATTAAGATAAGATGGGGCCTGATTATTTAAGACCTTGTATGTGAGGAGCAGGATTTTGAATTCAATTCTGGATTTAACAGGAAGCCAATGAAGGGAAGCCAAAACAGGAGAAATATGCTCTCTCTTTCTAGTCCCTGTCAGGACTCTTGCTGCGGCATTTTGGATCAGCTGAAGACTTTTCAGTGAGTTTTTTGGACATCCTGATAATAATGAATAACAGTCGTCCAGCCTAGAAGTAATAAATGCATGAACTAGTTTTTCAGCGTCACTCTGAGACAGGATATATCTAATTTTAGAGATGTTGCGCAAATGGAGGAAAGCAGTCTTACATATTTGTTTAATATGTGCTTTGAAGGACATGTCCTGGTCAAAAATGACTCCAAGGTTCCTCACAGCGTTACTGGAGGCCAAGGTAATGCCATCCAGAGTAAGAATCTGGTTAGATACCATATTTCTAAGCTTTTCAGGGCCGAGTACAATAACCTCGGTTTTATCTGAATTAAGAAGCAGAAAGTTAGCGGCCATCCAGGTCTTTATGTCTTTAAGACATTCCTGCAGTTTAACTCATTGGTGTGTGTTATCTGGCTTCATGCACAGGTAGAGCTGGGTGTCATCTGCATAGCAGTGAAAATGTATGCTATGTCTTCTAATGATGCTGCCTAAGGGAAGCTTGTATAATGTAAACAGAATTGGTCCTAGCACTGAACCCTGTGGAACTCCATAATTAACCTCAGTGTGTGAAGAGGACTCTCCATTTACATGCACAAATTGGAGTTTATTAGATATGATACAAACCACTGCAGTGCAGTACCTGTAATACCTACAGCATGTTCTAATTGCTCTAATAGGATATTATGGTCGACAGTATCGAATGCTGCACTGAGGTCTAGCAGGACAAGCACAGAGATGAATCCACTGTCAGAGGCCATAAGAAGATCATTTGTAACCTTTACTGAAGCTGTTTCTGTGCTGTGATGAGCTCTGAAACCTGACTGAAACTCTTCAAATAAGCCATTCCTCTGCAGATGATCTGTTAGCTGTTTGACAACTACTCTTTCAAGGATGTTTGATATGAAAGGAAGGTTGGAGATTGGCCTATAATTAGCTAAGACTGCTGGGTCTAGAGATGCTTTTTAAGTAAAGGTTTAACTACAGCTAGCTTGAAGGCCTGTGGTACATAGCCGATTATTAGAGATAGGTTGATCATATTTAAGATCAAAGAATTAATTAATGGCAGGATTTCTTTGAGCAGTTTTGTAGGAATGGGGTCTAAAAGACACGTTGATGGTTTGGAGGAAGTAATTATTGAAGTTAACTCAGAAAGATCAATTGGAGAAAAAGAGTCTAACTTAACATCAATGGTACTAAAGTAGCTGTAGATAATATTACATCTGTAAATAAAAACAAATAAAGTTAACTATAACTGAGGAGAATTTTAAAGATAATTTACACCTTCTCAACAGAAGTCATACATTATCCTTGCAAGTCTTACATTGGTTTTTTTTTTGGTTTTTTTTGTGGTTATAGTTGCATCTTCATTTTTGACTGTTATTCACATGAGCAGTCTCCATGAAATTCAAGAGTTGTGAACTGCTGCAGAGGTTTGCTCATCTGACTTTTTTGCCAGACAGTATGCTAACAATCCAAGCTGAATTACTCACAACCGATAACTGGAATAGACGCTGCAGTAATACTTCCCTGCAAAAATTTGTTACATTATTTTAGATTGCATTAGTAAACCATTGTTCCATGTGTGAATAGGTCCTGTTTTTTTTAATCCCAGTTGTTGACATTTGCCTTGACGGTTAAATGTTGAATGACAAGCGCAACAGGTCACAGAGAAGTGCATTAATAATTGATGTCATGTTGTAACATGTTCCCTCAGCTTTGAGACCTGCAGATGACATTTTCCATCAGTATGCTGAGGGTTTTTTTTCATCCAGCTGTGTGAAATTTCTCACCTCTGCTATACAGTGCCCTCTGTAATGTTTGGACACAGACAAACCAATATGTGTGTGAATGACAGATGTTTTTATTCACAGTCGCCTAGTTTAACAGGTTCCAAATTAATGGGACAATTATCATGCAGTTTCAGGACCTGCTCTCTTGTTATTTCACAACAAATGGCACACCTTTACAAAATCGCTGTCAAAAATGTCAAATAGACTGTAACAAAGAAACTTGTGTTATTCTCATATTTTCATAAACATAAATACTGACGTGCTCAGATGACGGAGAACCATCATAGCAAACATATTACCAGCTGATCCTTAAGCTATGCAGGATGACTGATCCTACTGCATCAGCTGTTTAAATAGCAAGTGATGTTTTTGTGATTGCTTTTGGAAGTCTCCCTTGTTCTTATTCACCACTTATCTCATGCTCTGTTATAGAAGGAGACAGATTTCACAAAGTTTGAGCGACCACGATCACAAGCAGCCCATGTCAGTCTGCACACAGCAACATGATCGTGACTTGAATGTGTGAAAATTGTTGATACTGCACATACAACAAAATAGGGCTGCTCAATTAATCGAATTTTAATCACGATTACGATCTGGGCTTTCAACGATCATTAAAAATGACTGAGCCGATTATTAGCCCCTCCCTCATTTATCCGCGACACCTTAAAGGCCAGTCCGTGAAAATATTGTCGGGCATAAACCGTCCGTGGCGCAAAAAAGGTTGGAGACCGCTGATTAAGAGGACCCGAGGGAAGCTCGGAAAGCTAAGCAGAAGTTATTTGGAGAGTGACTGCCGTTGGTTGAAAAG